GTGAAAAGGGAACTCAGTGGGTATAACAATAATAAAATCTACCCATTATTAAAAAAAAAGTTTTGTGATAAATCCAATTTAGCAAAGTCACCCCAATGGCCATCAGAAGTGAAAGTGGAAAGAATTATACAATCAGGAGAAAAATGGAAAAGATTTGCAAAAAACCCAAATTACAACAAATGGATTTCTCCATCAAGGATAGAAGAACTGCCTCCATTAGGCCTGACTTGTCCCACTCCCTGAGGAACTTACAGATGAGGTGCATGGGGCTAAAGAGAATGAAGACAGGAAATGCAGCCAGATCGACCATGTGTGTGTGCAGTAACCCCATGCAGCTGGTGGCACAGTAGTACTCGGCCTTGGGTCAGGAAAACCTGAGTTCAGATCCAGCCTCAGATACTTTGTGTGATCCTGGGCAGGTCACTTAAACTCCGATTACCTCTCTTTCCTCAACTGTAAAATAGGATAATAGTAGCACTTTACCTTGTAAGTTTGTTGTGATGATCAAATAATATATTTTTTAAAAGCACTTAGGTACTATCTGGCACACAATAGCCAGTATGTAAATGTTTATTGCCTTATTCCCTTCCATTCCCTTCCTCCCATGCTAGAAGATATGCTGTGAGGATGTCACAGAACCGATTTGCAAGTTGTCTAAAGGGGCAAAGATACAAGCCTGGGAAAAAATCTCAACCCTCTTTAGTTCCCCAAAGAAATGATTGAGAAAATGAGCATTGACAACAACCAATGTGTGTGCTCCCTCTCCCATCACTATCTTTGGGTGGTTCATCTATGCAGGTGCTGAGGGAGTCCTCAAGGCCGCTGCTAAGGAATGAGCAGACTTGTAAAGTGATAGTCATTGATGGATGACATCTTTGCTATCTCCAAATTGGTTGAAACAGGCAGACACTATAAGAATCTGTTGTGCTAATTATTTATCCTTTAAAAAATTCAACTGAGTAGGCCAAACTGTCATCTTAGAAATCCTGTCATAGCAGGGGATCTCCCAGATCAGTAGCATTCAAGATTCCTTAGAAGACATAATAACTGACATAACCTTGTTCAATAATCCCCTGATAGTAAACATCAGATGAATTACAAAAGAGGAGCATATATGCTTACTAAAGGATTTGCCATGAAAATGGAGGGGATCCCAAGCAGAATCCAAGACAAGGGCTGATTTCTTATGGATGGGTTTAATTGCATCAGGCCCCAGGATACTGAAGTCTCCAGGAAGAAATCAGTAATCACCCCAAGGTGTTTAGCCTGTCCATCCATGCGATAAAGACCAACTGGACAAAGAATGCCTGTCGTGCAGATTTCAATATTCAATGGAATGAGTACCCAGTAGAACTTCTATAAAAGTACATGTGATTGGGATGAAAAATAAAGACAGACAATAAGCTGAGCCCAGAACTGAAAATGAGGAGGATAATGGGCTGGATTGCTTTTGGGAAATGACAAAGCATTTCTACTGTTTCCAAGCTTCCTATAAAAGCAAAAGCCTTAACCAATTCTATCCAATACAACTAATTTACTCACATTGCTATGTAGAGTGAGACCCTGACCACCATGCCTCTGAAGACCTGAATATGAATATCACTCAAAGAGGAGGAAAGTTCATGGTTAGTGTGAGTAGACTGTAGCATGGAACCAATGAGGAACTCTAGAGAAGACCAGGCTATTAGGACTTATATGGCAGGAAAAGAAGATGGGTTAGATGCTGAAGACAGAAAGACAAAAGAGAGCCAGAGAGTAAAGCTGTTGGATGGCTGAAGTGCTCCCCTGGCACCCTGGCAATGTTAGCAGAAGTAGGGGAAGGCATCTGGCATGTTGTGTAGCCATACTTCCCTGCGGGGTATTTGGGGGAAGATAAGGTTGAGGATCCTACAGAGTGGGTAGGCATGAATAGGTTGTGATTCACAGTACTGGGGGACCATTCCAAGTCAGTGGGTTGTAGCATTTGTGTATTTAGGTAGACTTTTTTAATGCTTTGGAAAAGAAAGAAAGAAGGAAGAGAGAGAGAGAGAGAGAGAGAGAGAGAGAGAGAGAGAGAGAGAGAGAGAGAGAGAGAGAGAGAGAGAGAGGAAAAAAGAAAAGGTTTCGAGAAATTAAAGCACTTGCTTATGGTTAGAGTGATAGTAAATGTCTGAGTCAGGAGAGTGTTGAGAGGAAAATTACGTTTGGGCTTTCACCCTGACTAACAAGGCAAAACTTGGGAGATAGAGAATTAAAGGTAGCTTATTACTAGTAAGTCAAGGTAGCAACACACTGATGGGCTGATCACTGGAGATTGGTGGTGGCTTAGAGGTGGAGCCAGCTTTTGTTGATAAGAGATAAAGACAATTCAGATAGGTCAGTGGCAGCAAAAGAGCTTGGGCCCTTGCATCTCAGGTCCTCCCCAAGGTAGCAGCTACATGACCATGTGCTGACAGGGCTGACTTGACTATGTGACAAATATCAGGGGACTGGGCGACACCTCCCCCAACACTGATCAACACACAGGTCTGGGAGCTATGAGTCACTGAGTCAGCATCACTTCCAGTGATAGGATGCCAGGTCTTGTTGACTTCAGGTCCAACAACTACCTGCTCTATCACAGTAACAATGATGATGGTAATAGCAGTATCCGAATTAATAATAGTAAGCATTTATGTAGCGCTTTGGGATTTGAAAAGTACTTTAAAGAAATATTACTCCCATTTTATAGAAGAGGAAATTGAGGCACAGAGAGATGGAGACATTTTCCCAGGGTTCCACAGCTACTGAGTACTCAGGTCTTGCTGACACCCAGTCCAGTGCTCCATCCCCTATATCATTTAAGCCGACCTTTACTCCCCAAAGTATGCTTCCTATGATGTGCCCGACAACTGGCCATTTATTCAGTGTTCATGTTGAGGACTCCAGATACGAGAATAACCCCTTCTTCCTTTCCGAAGTCTTCCCAAAGCTTTCAGGACCCAGGGCTAAGTAAAGGATGGTATTCTGGCTGGCTTAGGGGCCAAAAAGGGCTCTCCTCCCCTCTCCCATCCTTTGCTTTCCTTGCTGGTATGCAGGAGGAGATGGGGAGGGGTAGAGAAGGAAGGGGAGCCAGACGTCCTTTGAACTGCTTTTTCTTATGGGAATTGAGCCAAGCTTCCAACCTAAAGAATAATTGCTTGGAGCCCTACAGTGTTGCCTTTACTTTGTAAATCTTTCTCATTAGGATGCAAATTGGCTGCCCCTAGTTCAGAGAAGTCATCTTAGGGTTGTTAGGGACAAAAAGGGGGGGGGAGATTTGAGTTAATGCATCAAATTTGATGTAAAAATTTTCAAAGAAAGTCATGTTCTTTTTCTTTTGTAAAATGACATTGGGAACAATGTATTTAGGATCAGGCCCAAAGCCCAGGTGCCTTATTTACAAGTGTGAATTGGTCCAGTGATACTTTGATTAAAGAATTCCTGAGAAATAAAGCTTTATTTTTAATGGAGTCAGCTGCATAAAAAAATGAAAAATCATGATTACAAAAACCATAAATGAGGTCTGGCTCTCTGGGCAGAGGGCTGGCAGAAAGTCCTTGCTACCACCCTTCTTGGAGCCTGGGGTAGGGAAAGCCAACTGGACAGGGCTTTGAGTTCCTCTTCCTTTGGGAGGCCCCTTCCTTCCCTTCTCAGGAGATTCCAGGGACTCTAAAGGCTCTCTTCAATGCTCATTGGGCCCTTCTACTGGGGGGGGGGGTTAGGAAGCTGTTGCACTGATAAGTGGGTGAGGAGAGCATCTTCCCTCCTGTCAAGAGGCTAGTCTCTTCCCACATTCTCACTGGAGTAGCAGCCTATCTGCTTGTTGACTGATCTCAGATGAACTCAATTAGTCCTTTGCATTTCAAGCCTTTCTTTTTATCTCAAGTTATGGAAAGGAGGTTTAAAAAATAGGATTTGGGTTTTAGCAAAAAAAAATGAGGACAGTCTCAAAGCTCACAATTTCCCCTGTTCCTCTTCCTGAGGTCTCTACACTTGACCCCTCCCAGCTGTCCACTGACTCTTTGGCCCACAGGTAGGGTTACCGTCAGATTTGTATCTTTGCTGTTAGCACACCAGATGTGACTTTAGCTCTCGCTTGCTGGTTTTGGTGTTATAACACTTCCTTACCTCATCTAATAATTAAATTCAATTGGCAAAGCATGTAGTGAACCTCTACCATGTGGCAGGAGGTAAAAATTAAAACCCTTGCTTTTAAGGGGGCTGCAAGCATAAGATTTGGTGCAGCTAGGTAGCGCCATAGTGCAGAGTGCCAGCCCTCAGGTCAGGAGGACCCATCTCCTTGAGTTTGAATCTGATGTCAGACAGTTATTAGCTGTGTGACCCTGGGCAAGTCACTTCATCCTGTTCGCCTCAGTTTCCTTATCTGTAAAATGAGCTGGAGAAGGAAATGGCAAACTACTCCAGGGTCTTTGCCAAGAAAACCCCCAATGGGATCATGAAGAGTTGGACACGACGGAACAACGATAAAAAGCATAGGGCCAAACATTCAGAGTTAGAAGAAACCTTACAAGTCATCTAGCCAATGTGGAGAGCCAGAATTTGAACTCAGTTCCTGTGACTCCCAAGTTGAGTGTTTTGTTTTTGTTTTAACGATATAGCCATTAAACATGGGATCTGGGTTCAGATTTTACCCAATAGCAATTGCTAGCTCTGTAAGCCTGAACAAATAATTTACTTCTTTCAGCCTCAGTTTCCTTAGCTGAGAAATGGATACAAAACCATCCTGTTTTTTTGCTTTTATTTTGCCCTTCAAGGTTTTTGCCTCTCAAATGAGATATTGTCTGAAAAGCTCTTTGTGAAATTTAAAATTATAGGTAGTAATTATTATATACCAAAGGAATAAAGGTCTTTGTAATGCAAAGAGCTTCAGCAACTAGAGAACATTATATTGAGAAATAGAAATTGTTGTTTTGGTAATCAGTCAGTGCCATGTGGTGGCTATAGCTTCAAATCATCCCTTTTCTCTTTTCTTTTTTCAGAACTTTCATCTCTCCTCAAAGGGAAGGACTTGCAGCGGCAAACATCTTATACCAACTCATCACATATTTTAATATCTGGAAGTATCATCTGCCCATTGGATCATGTGGAATCACTGAAGCACAGGCTTCTTGCAGCCCGGCTTTTGTGAAGTCCCCTGGTATGTGACAGAGAACTTGGAAGCCACTATGACGAACCAGGAGAAGTGGGCTCACCTTAGTCCTTCTGAATTCTCTCAGCTCCAGAAGTATGCTGAGTGTAAGTATCTAGGACCTCGGCATTTGAAATTGATGATAAGTCAATTTAATGGCAGCTGTGGAGGCAACATGGGAGATGGGAGGATCAGATCAGAGAACTTGGATTTGAATTTCTGCTCTGCCCCTTAACACATTTCTTGACCTTGGGCTGGTAAAGTCTCCTGACTTCTTGGTATCTGTGTAAAGTGTGGGGTTAGACTGGATGCCTCTGAGAGCCCCCAGTGCTCTTAATCTAACATGGTGTGATTCTAAGAGCTCCCTGGAATAGGAATTCCCTTCACCCATAGGGATCAGAGTTCAACCTGGCCTCTTTCCCTGTGTTGCTTTTGTTCGTGAGCCTTCCCTAATCCCTTCATGAATGCTCTGTTCTTTGTGATGACAGCTTTATTTTATTTGTGAGTTTATTTATTTTTACCATTCTGTGGATAGGAATCAACAACTGGCCTTTCCATCTATCATCCCAAACTCTCCCAACATGGCCAGCCCAACTTCTTTCCAGTCCTTCATGCTCCTTCTGGTATTTAATGCCCAGCCTCTAGTGGGCATCATTGTTGTGATCTGACATTGTATTTCCACCCTCCGTTTGTTTTCCATCTAGTAATGAATAACATCCACGTCTGGCCCATCAGGGAAAGAGGAAGTATGAGTGGGCTAGGGATGCTCCCTTCCTAGGGGTAAGAACCCACATTTTCAAGTAACATTTTCAAGTACCAGCTGAGATAAAAGAACAGATCCAAGGAGACATGGCAGGAAATGGAGGTAAAAGTGAGATGGGGAGAGGTACAGGGAAAAATGGAGCCTGTTGGCAGCTGGAAAATAGCTCGGAGGTCACTTAGATCAATCTCGTTGTTGTTGTTCAGTCACTTTTCCATCATGTCCAGCTGTTTATGACTGCATTTGAGGGTTTCTTGACAAAGATGCTGGAGTGGTTTGTCATTTCCTTCTCCAACTCACTTTACAGATGAGGAAACTGAGGCAAACAAGGTGAAGTGACTTCCTGGGATCACACAGCTAGTAAGAGTCTGAGGCTAGACTTGAACTCATGTTTTCTTGAGTTCTGGCCTAGTGCTTTCTCCACAGGAATGACTCCCTGTATATAAGACTTGGTTCTGTCTTCCCACTTTAACATCATCAATGAAGGAAACTTTTCCCTGATAAAGTACTCAAGTCCATATTTTGGACACTCTAATGTTAACCTGAAACCCATGATCATCACTATATTATTCCTTTTAGAGAGTTAGGATCATAGAATAACATATTTTTGGCCTGAGACTGTCAAGGATAGATTGAAGCAGTTTTCCTGAACCGTGTGGCTGAGCTTAATTAGGTTTTTGTGTGTGTGTGTATGCAGGGGAGATACACTTTTCCTCAAAATGCAAGTCAATTCCCAGAGACCACATGGGGCCTCACCTCTCTGCCTTCCCTAGGATAAGCACAGGCACCCTCCTAGATTATCACTTACTCACTCCAGCAACCCTGTGTCCTTCCCCAGTATTTCCCTGTTCACAATTCCACAACTACACTCCCATCCCAATCACTAGGTCATAGAGTTCCTAGGATATACTTTGTCATCAGCCCCTCTCCCTTTGGATTCTAACTTCCCTTTATCTCTAGCATTAGATGCATTTCTCTTCATTATTGTCTCTTTTTCCCCTTCTTCCTTCTCTTTCTTCAGTCTTTCTCAGTCCTACATAACCAGTCATCCATTCTTGAAATGTGGCACTTTCCCTGCCAAGTGTGGGTTGGGACAAAATGAAAGAATGGCTCTCCCAGTTTCCACAAAACAACTAAATACAACAATTGAATTGAGTTTGCTAGAACTGAGCTAATCGTAGTCCAGACTGGCTTTGGGTCTTGCTTTCAGTAAGTTTGATACCTGGGCCTACAGTGACACCTAAGAATTCCAAAGGTCTTATGGGAAAGGAGCAGAAAATAATATCCTTGTAATTTTTGCCCTTTGGAGGTAAACACAGTGTCTTATCCCTCATCCATGTGCCAGCCACTCAGATATGTGAAGACAGCTATTATCCCTCTTCCCACTCTTACACATACTCTCAAAGTCATTCATTCATCCATCCATTCATTCATTCATCCATCTAGTCATTCAGGTACCCATCCATCCATGCATTCAGTAAACATTGATTAAGTACTTATTGCATTCATAACACTGTGGTGAGCATTGGGAAGAGAAAGGAAGTTAGAATGATAGAAGTTCCTTGATCATTCAGCTCACAGTTTCCCTGAGTGTACAGGTTCTTTTCTCTTTTTTACATTCAATTTTATTTATTTTCAGTTCTGAATTCTCCCCCACCCCACCCCAACCATCTCTCTCCTATTCATTAAGAAAGGAAAAAAAACAAAACCCATTGCAAATATGCATAGTCAAGAAAAATGTATTTTTCTGTATTTTGGCACAATTGATTTCATTTATAATCACATATGTTTTACTTCATGAATTTAAAAACAGGATTCTGAGAAAATATCTGTAGGCTTTCCCAGATTTCCAAAGGGATACAGGATACACACAAAAGTTAGCAACCCTTAGCCTACAGTGACTGATTAATGTACCATGCCAACAGTGCGAGGAAAACAAACCGGCAAGCTGGAAAAAAAAAGTCCTCAGTGAAATCTGAGGAATGAAATTGGTACTTACCTGGGTGGGGTACAGGAATGGAGTGGGAGAAGCATTTTTGAAGGCAGTTGGATTAAAAAAAAATAGGTAGTTAAACCAACAAGAAGGGGAGCTTGGAGAGAGGACTGGGCACTCCAGGTAAAAGGAGCATCTGATGAAGACCTGATGATAGCCTTTGTCATGATAGAAGCTTTCCTGTGACAGGAATTGGGAAGATAAGAGGAGGAATTGGTTTGAGGACTAATTTAAGGAGTTGAACTTTCTATAGGTTGGATTTGGATTAATGATAATGGTATTCAAATGCTGCCTAAAGGGCCTAGATTCTTTAAAAGAAATTGTTCTCTAGTAATCTATGGAATAAATTAAGTAGCAGTTGATTAAAAATCATTAATGAGAAAATTACATCATTAGTTCAAACATAATTTATCTGGATTAGAATGTCCCAAATAACTTGACTTGGGTCTCTATATGGAAAGATATTTTCCAGAGAGAATTAAATGCCTTGCAAGTCAATTCTTTCTCTTCTAGCCAATTGGGAGGCATTTTTATTCCATCTACAGAATAGAGTTTTGTTTTGTTTTGTTTTTAAATGTGTAGAATGAGCTATAACATTAATGTCTATAAAATAGGAAATTATGTGGCTTTGGAAATGAAGATTAGCATAAATCATGGTAAAATAAATTCTATAGTACACAGGAAAACTGTGCCATTAAGTAGCATTATTAAAATTAATCTTAGGAAGAGACAAGCTAATGGATTAACTAAGATTGAAGCAAAGTGCCTCCTCATTTGTCATTAAGCTTACTTCCATTTATTTAATAGCATAATAACAGAGGAAGTATTAGAATGATTCCCCTGAGCAATCTCCTGTATAGTTAGAGAAGCAAGTCACCCCTGATTGGCATCTCTGCTTACCTAACATGGCCATTACAGCTGAACTTCCCTTGAATTTGGACTCCAGCTGAGTCTGCCAACGTTTTCCTGAATGATGCAGTTGCAGTGATTAGTCCTTGGGTTTGTCAGACACATTCATGTCTTTTTTCTTTGAGCTTTTAAAATCCCACTCTCAATAAGGCATGGCCCACCATGGTCAGCCAGGCAAATGCTGTCAATGGTGAGCTCACTCTCTCGACTTCAAGATTTTTAACCACATGTAGTGAAATTGAAGGTGGGCTTTAAAACAAGTAAAGGAAATGAAAAGTATCATACCTACAATTTGGGGCTGAAAGGGACTATTTTACACATATGGAGATTTATTTCTGTTGAACAAATACTTGGAAAATATAAGTAGAAAAATCATCCATTTACCAAAGATTGGCACACATGTCAATCCATTATGTTGGGGGCTTTCCCTGAGAGCCCTGGTGGTATAGTGTATGGAACCTGGCTCTGGACCCAGAAGACTGAGGCTCAAATTACAATTTGCATACTTATTATCTAAATGATTGTGGGAAAGACACAACTTCTGGACTCAGAGATGGATTGGTAATAATAATTCAATGCACAATGCAGAGTCATTATGAGGAACAAGGTTTTGTATGCATGCTTTAATGTACTTTACAAATATGAGTTCCTCTCTCCTTCATTCCCTGCTCCATCTTTCCTTTCCTTTCCTTCCTTCCTTCCTTCCTTCCTTCCTTCCTTCCTTCCTTCCTTCCTTCCTTCCTTCCTATCTTCCTTCCTTCCTTCCTTCCTTCCTTCCTTCCTTCCTTCCTTCCTTCCTTCCTTCCTTCCTTCCTTCCTTCCTTCCTTCCTTCCTTCCTTCCCCCTTTTCTTTCTCACTTCAAGGTAGGCAGTAGTTTCCCAAGTGGCCCACCTTTCCTGTGGCTTTAAACAAGACCTAAGAGAATACATTCAAGGCTGAGAGTCTGGCCCTTGGAGCCTGCTGCCCCTTTCACTTGTGGGTGAGTGTCCAAGCTGAGTAGCTCCAGAACCCGCTGTCTTCTGGGTATCATTCCTGTTCCTGCCCGATCTTTGTGTGACTCCTTGGCTCTGCCCAAGCTGGTTCCAGTGAGACTGACTGAGCTTTCTTCTATAGGGCATAGACTTTAGTTCTCTCTGGGCCACTAGCCAGAAGTCTTGTTACCCATTTCTCAGCCTTGCTGTGACAGGAAGAGGTTAAGGAAGCTCCATCCTTCCCCAGCCCTGTCATGGCCTGTTTCTCCATTGATCATAATGTTTCCTGTGGGAAGTCTTCTTGATGATTGCAAGTGATTCATTATCCATCCATTTATTGCCTCTCAGGATTGCTTCTTATTTGCTTAGCTTATTTGCTAAGTCTACTGCATGGGCATTATTTTGGAAGGATACTATAGTAGGGATAGTGGGAGAGCTTCCAGAACTCTCATCAGTTTTATACTGTTTATAGC